GAAAGATATAGCTGTAATGTATATATTAAAGAAAGTCCATTTCAAAACAATAACCTAACATTCCCCATAAGAAATTAGAAAAATTGCAGTAAACTAAATCTAAAACAATCTGAAGAAAAAATAAAATAAAATTACAACAAAAATTAATATAAAAGAAAATAGGAAAAATAAAACAATAGGGAAAATCAATAAAATGAAATGTTGGTTCTTTGAAAAAAAAATTAACAAAATCTACAATTCTTTGGCTAGACTGACCAATAAGAAAGGAGAGAAGATTCCAATTACTAAAATCAAAAATGAAAGAGAAGACATTACTATTCAATATTAAACTTACAGAAATAGAAAGATTTATAAAGGAACACTATAGATATTGCATGGCAAAAAATTAGATCCCCACCTCACCCTATAAATAAAAATCAAGTCACAATCAGTCAAAGACCTAAATGTAAAAGCCAAAACTATAAAACTCTTAGAAGAAAACATACATATCTATATCTTCCTAACCTTGGATTAGGCAATAGTTTCTAGACACAACACAAAAAGCATAGCATAAGATAGAGTCTATCTAGACTCCACTAAAAAACTTTTAGAACAAGTGATCAAATTCAGTAAAGTTACAGGATACAAAATAAGTATACAAAAGTCAGTTATGTTTCCATACAATAACAACAAACTAACAGAAAGAGAAATTAAGAAACCAAGAGCAGGGTGTCGTGGTGGTGGGATGAATTGGGAGACTGGGATTGACATGTATACACTGATGTGTATAAAATGGATAACTAATAAGAAAAAGCTGTATAAAAAAATAAACAAAATTCAAAAATTAAAAGAAAAAGAAAGAAACCAAGTGCATTTACCATTGCATCAAAAAAATATAATACTGAGGAATAAATTTAACCAAGGAGGTGAAAGATCTCTATAGTATAAGATATACAATGACAACTATAAGATATTGATGAAGCAAATTGAAGAAGACACAAATAAATGGAAAAATATTCCATGTTAATGGATTGGAAAAATTAATATTGTTAAAATATCCATAATACCCAAAGTAATCTACAGATTCAATGCAATCCCTATCAAAATACCAATGGCATTTTTCACAGAAATAGAAAAAAATCCTAAAATTTGTACAGGACCCCAGAAGACCCTGAATAGCCAAAGCAATCTTGAGCAAGAAGAACAAAGCTGGAGGTATCACATTTCCTGATTTTAAACTATTTTACAAAGCTATAGTAATCAAAAATATCTATTGTATTGGCATAAGAAGAGACACATAGACCAATGGAAGAACAGAGAACCCAGAAATAAACCCACCCATATATGGTCAATTAATTTATGACAAAGGAGGCAAAAATATACAATGGGGGAAAGGACAGTCCCCTCAGTAAAAGGTGTGTGTTGTAAAAACTATATAGACATGCAAAACTGTATAATATGCAAAAAGAATGACACTGGATCTCTATCTTACACCACATTAAAAAAAAACAACTCAAAATGGATTAAAGA